TCATAAATGATTGCTGGCCGCAGGGGGATATAGGGACAAATAAACAGTAAAGGAAAAGGGATGATGTTGCAAAGTTCATTCGCTGTGCAAACAGCTCAGCTTGGGTACAAAGTCTACAACTCTTACTTCTTCCCTTATTTAAAATGGAACCTGCTTGTGACATTTTGACATTTTGGGGTTTCTCCCGTCCTGTTCTATATTGCTAAACTACTGTGCAATCATCTGGAAGTCGCATAAGTAGGTTAGGTGGTTGTTCATTAAGTCACTGTATGATTTTAGGAACATAGGAGAAACTCCTGTGCACACTATCTTGCCTAGAGTCTTACCAAATTCGCTTCTGAAGATGTCTGAAATTTCACAATTAATGCTTCACTGTTTTTCCTCAAGCCAAAGATTAAGTGCTAATGCAAATACTCCCGCGGAAGGTAATTCACCAACCTATTATCAGTCACTTATACTTTAAGGGGAATGAGTTTGACAACAATTTACATTGGGAATAATAAATATAAAAATCACTTTCTAATTAACAAGTTTTTAGATAAATATTAAATTACTCGTACACATTTTGATTGAAGAATCATCTTTACTATCATAGATAATATTTATTGAGTGCTTATGATATGCTAGGCATTGTTCTAAGATTTCATGCCAACAAACTTGTATGAGATAGATATGATTATTATCCCCCTTTTTCAGATGAGAAAGATGAGGCACAGAGAAGTTAAATAACTTTCCACAAGTCACATAGCTAGTAAGTATCCAAGCCAGGATTTATGGGCATCTTAAAACAAATAGTGTTCAGGATAACAGGGAACATGGTAAAAAAACAAAAAACAAATAGTGAACAATATAGATTTGTACATGGGGCATATTCTGCAATTATACTAAGTGAGGACTACTAATGAGATAGTTGGGGGATAATTTTAACAATGCTTTTATTCTTCTCACTTCAAATTATTTTACCTTTAGTCTAGAATAAAACAGACATGTTGCATCTTTGACTTTGCAACCTACATAATATATGAAATATAAACAGCTATTTAGAGGCAGCATTTATGAAATACATTTTTGGTTAATCTGATTTTGACTTTGTAATCAACATAAAAAGTTAAAAATCTAAACCGTGAAGAGGGGGAAATGGACAGGGACAACTATTGTGGTAGAGCACAGAAAGTCCTTGTTCAGCTTTTTGCTAGAATAAATTCTTTACACAAGAATAGCCCTTCATTTTATATTTACTCTGTTCTGGTCACTTCCTGCTCAGTCGATAGTCAGCTTTGTAATTTGTTTACTCTTGTCATGAGGAACTAATTATTTGCCAAAAGGCTCTAAGTATTTTTTTTTAATATAAAATGGTATGTACAAGCTTTGGGAAAGCAAAGTTACATAAAGAGACTTTTTGGTTACCTGTTAGGATGCTCATTCAGTAAATCTTCCTTTGTTACTTATTTTTGTGAAAAACTCTTTTCCTCTCCATTTAATAAACTTAGTGAATGCTTCAGTGCATTCAAAGATTCAGAACATTCTTTTAGAAGCTACAATTTAGGCAAAAGGCAATCAATGTTTTGTAAAGAGCTTGAGTCCATAGCACAGGGCTAGCAAGTCTCTTTGGAAGGGGAGCTCACATTTTTGTGACTTATGAGAATTATTATAGTAGCTATTACAGTTTGTTTCAGGTGTTTATCATATACTCAAGGAAGTGTCTATATAAGGCCAAAGTATCCAGATGAAAAGTGTCTTTTGCTGTTCTCTTCAATCTGCATAGCCTTAGTTCCCAGAATTAAGCAGTGCTTCCTGATGTGTAAAAACCAGCCTACTTTGTTTAACTTAGGTGAATTAAATTGTATATGCTTGGCCAAAAAGAAAAAAGGAAGAAAGGAAACTAATTTTAATATCGTGAGTGATTATGCCCATTTTATTAAATGAGCCCATGAACCTGTACTACTTTGGATTAAATGTGAGTTGGAATTTATGGGAAAAAAATATATAATCACCTACGTTATGTCAAGCACAGAATGTTTTGGAAAAATCTAGAAGACTAAGTTTTCATATGAAGAATTTGGCAACATTTAGATGCAAGGAACAATCTCTGGTGGCAAACATGTTTTACTCAGAGAGTTGGCTTACCAGCAGATGGCTAAATATTACAGAGCTAATTTTGTGGTAGAATACATTAAAATATGAGAATGTAAATCAAATAAAAGAATATTAAATTTACTATGAAACAAGCTTTTTAAAGGCAATTGACTAAAAAAGCTTTGAAAATCTTGCTGAACAACAAAATTTATGCAAAGATGTGGTGTTACAAATAAACAATTCATTACATGCTAGTTATAGTTTCTGAAAATTTAACTTCAGATTGAAACTCTTTTAGTAATAAAACATTTTAAAATGATTAGGTACAGTTGCAGGTATTTTATTTCCTGCTTTGAAGACATATTCTTATTAATTACATTATTAAAGGAAATGTCCTTGTAATTGTTTTTACAAATCATGATTTGCCCATCCTGTCAAAAAAGACTACCCAGTCTTGTCTTATGTATTATGGTGGTTTCTCAAGCCTATTATCTCAATCCCCTACCATCCATCTCTTAAATATCTACCTCTGAGATAGAGAAATCTGGATTTTCATGTAGCTAGCTCAGCATGGAGTTAGTTTATCCCCACTCCTGAAAAAGTAGCTCAAACTGTAGAGGGAGGCTATGTGGGAGGGTGAGTGTCAGACATGAAGAAGAGGATGTTTTATTTTAATGCAGAGGGCATGATAAAATGAACAGAAGACTTGTCTTTTTCCACGAAGGACACTGTCTATTTACTAGATTTGCATCTCATTTCTGAGAAAAAATTTACTTTTCCTTCCAATATATATTTACCTTTCTTAGACCCAAGGCAATATTGTACACCAATAATCAGATCTCCAGTGGAAGGAGTGGGAGGATTTTAAGCAATTGCTCATAAATGATTGCTGGCCGCAGGGGGATATAGGGACAAATAAACAGTAAAGGAAAAGGGATGATGTTGCAAAGTTCATTCGCTGTGCAAACAGCCCAGCTTGGGTACAAAGTCTACAACTCTTACTTCTTCCCTTATTTAAAATGGAACCTGCTTGTGACATTTTGACATTCTGGGGTTTCTCCCCTCCTGTTCTACATTGCTAAACTACTGTGCAATCATCTGGAAGCCGCATAAGTAGGTTAGATGGTTGTTCATTATGTCACTGTATGATTTTAGGAACATAGGAGAAACTCCTGTGCACACTATCTTGCCTAGAGTCTTACCAAATTCGCTTCTGAAGATGTCTGAAATTTCACAATTAATGCTTCACTGTTTTTCCTCAAGCCAAAGATTAAGTGCTAATGCAAATACTCCCGGGGAAGGTAATTCACCAACCTATTATCAGTCACTTATACTTTAAGGGGAATGAGTTTGACAACAATTTACATTGGGAATAATAAATATAAAAATCACTTTCTAATTAACAAGTTTTTAGATAAATATTAAATTACTCGTACACATTTTGATTGAAGAATCATCTTTACTATCATAGATAATATTTATTGAGTGCTTATGATATGCTAGGCATTGTTCTAAGATTTCATGCCAACAAACTTGTATGAGATAGATATGATTATTATCCCCCTTTTTCAGATGAGAAAGATGAGGCACAGAGAAGTTAAATAACTTTCCACAAGTCACATAGCTAGTAAGTATCCAAGCCAGGATTTGCACCTGTCAGTCTAGTTCCAAAACCTGCACTGTAAACCACTCTCCTACTCAATTCTCTCTGCAAAGGGATGATGGCTGGAACATGTGGGAGAAGGAAGAATATTTATGAACCATGAGAAGTTTGAAGTTATTTAAAAATGTTATTATACCAACAACTATGACAATATGGATACATTTTTTATACCAGTGCCTGACAGAACTCTACTAGGGTTATTATGATCTCATCATCAGCATAATGGGAATAATTAAAACAATATTAACAATAGATACTTACTATCCAGTGGCTGATGCAGTAACTTTCATCACCATCATCTTTATGATCATTGCCATCATTGTCATCATTATTATCATCATTATTTATTGAGGGCTTATCAGGAACCATGTTTAATATACTACCTAAATGATATCGTTTAATCCTCCAGCCATCTCACGGGTGGGCATAATCATTTCCATTTTACAGATGACAAAACTGAGACTCCGTGATGCTAAGATCATAGAACCAGAAATTATAAAGCTAAAATTTGAACCTAAGTCTGCCTTCAAAGCTTATGTTCTTAATCACTATGTCCAAAATTCCAATATTCCTTCTAGGACCACCCCCCAAAACACCACTTACTGAGTGTCATCTATGTGCCAGGTTAGCCTATGTCAGGCTAGTCCTATGTCACTGTGACAATGGCTCATGCATGGGCCAAATCCAGCCAGTGGCCTGTTTTTGTAAATAAAGTTTTATTGGGACACAGCCATGCTTGTTTATTTACATAGTGTCTATGGCTGCTTTTGTACTAGAAGGCAGAGTTGAGCAGTTGCAACAGATATCCTATGGCTTGCAAAGCCAAAAATATTTACTATCTGGCTCTTTACAGATAAGTTTACTGACCCTTGACTTAAACCATCTTGCAATATGTGTATCATTATTCTCATTTTAAGATGAATGTATTATAGTTGAGGGAGATTAGGTAACTTGCCCACTCAACTATTAAGGAACAAGAACCTAGTAAAAAATGGGTATCTACAGGACTCCAGAACCTTTTTGATTTCTTCTCTTGAAACTTATAGCAGCAACAATTTTGATAATTAGCTGTTGCAATAAAGGAGTTTTCTCTAACAACACACGGTTAACAATATGGTTTTAAATGTTTGACACTGGTATTAAAGAGTTGTGTATTTTCCCTTGGTGGAGGGATATTAAGTTCGTCTTACCTTCTGAGAATTTACTGTACTTAATTCCTTGAGGATGGATGCTTAAGGGCTTGTCTGCCTTGTTCTTAAAGTGAATTTTCATGATGTCTCCAACTTCAGCATATAAAGTGGGCCCAAGAAGTCCTGTGAAAACAAGGATTTAAACTACGTCTGTATTCAGAATCACCAAAGGCAGAGCTGCTGAGCAAGAAAAACATACAGACAACATCAAAAGTGATTGCTGTGATTACTTCTGGCCCAGAGGTTGACCTGTTTATCTTCAATCTAGAAGGTTTTACCAGTTATTAACTCTACTTTAAGTGTAGTCAGATAAAAACAGGGTGGTAGAAACATTTGGCCTGCACCCAAAAGAAGTCAAGAGAACAGCAGAAATAGTTCTGACTATGTCCAACCTGCTCTGACCCACTCTCTTTCCTTAGAGACGACTTTCTTTGGTTAAGAAGAGAAAGGCAAGTTTTCAGTGACAGAGCGTGATGTAAGGGAGTGGCTACTTTAGATCTCCCTGAGGTGGAAAAGCTCAGCAACCTAAAGGAAGTGAGTGAGGAAAGCACGCAGTGCTCTGCTCCTGAGACAAGTTAAAAGCCCTCAAGGCAGGAGTGGGCTTGATTTATGTAAGGAACAGTAGGAAAAACAGCATGGGGAGAGAGAGGAGATGAGGTGGGTGGTGAGGGTGCAGAACCTGCGAGGCCCTATGGGCCACGGTGAGAGCTTAGATTTTCTTCTAAGTGAAATGGGAAATCACTGGAGCTTTGGGCAGCAGAGGTGTAGTCTGATATGTATTAAAATTTCATCCTGTAATAAAAGAGTTCATCTTAGCTGCTGTGTTGAGAATGGTTTGTGTGGTGACAAGAGTGGAAGCAGCGAGACCAGGTAGATGGGAAAGAGACCGTGGTGTGCGGGGCCAGCACGTGTAGCAGGGAGGTGGCAAGAGTGGTTGGATTCTGGACATTTTTGTAGGTAAAGCCAACAGGACTCACTGATGGATTGGATGCGGCTTTTCAGAGAGAGAAGTCAGGATGACGCCCAGGTTTTTGATCTAAACAACTAAATGATGTTATCAGTTACTACGGTGGGGAACACAGTAGGGACAGCAGGTTAGGGGTGCAGAAATCAAGAGTGAGATTTCGCTTACAACATTTCAGGTGCTGTGCTAGGTTCTGGGGCTACGTGGATGAATAAGACACAGTCTCTGTCTGGAAGGAGTTCACAAGCTGGTTTGGAGACAGATGTACAAGAGGAGCTACTGCTGAGATACAGGCAAAATACTGCCGGGCAGAGAGGATGAAGGATGGATTCTGCTTGGGGAGTTAGGGAAAGGGTTGGTATCTGAGTCAGTTTGAGTAATCATACATATAACTGGACCTCTGTGTCCATGGTTCTGCATCCATGGATTCAACCAACTTCAGATTAAAAATATTTAAAAAAACCAACAACAACGAAAAATAACAATACAACAATAAAAAACAATATAGATAAAAATATAGTATAATAGCTATTTATATACCATTTACATTGGGTTAGGTATTGTAAGTAATCTAGAGATGATTTAAAGTATATGAGAGGATGTGCATAAGTTATATGCAAATACTGTGCCATTTTATATAAGGGCGTTGAGTATCCTTGCATTTTGGTATCTGTGGGAGGCCCTGAAACCAACCCCCTGTGGATACCAAGGGATGACTGTACTAGAACTTTCTCCACATCAGAATCATCTGGGGTCTTACTAAAAGGCAGATTCCCAAATACCACCTCAGATTCAATGAATCTGAGTCTCTGGAGGTGAAGCTTGGAAATCTTGACTCTAATATATATTTCCTGGTGATCCTGGTGTCCTTTAGAGCTTGAGAATAAAAGCCCCATTTCAGACAAGTGACAAAGATCAGCTGCTCTCACTTCCAAGCCGTCGGTAAACTCTTGTTTACCCTTCTGCCCATTAGGAATCATAGAAGCAGCAGAAGGAAGTTAGAATAGTCATAGAATTCAACAGCATTTGTTTGTAGTGGTGAAGGTATTATGATAGGGCTTTCATTTATTTCTACCCATAATACATTCAAAAACTGAAAATCCTTACATTAATCCCCACAACAAATCTTTAAGGAAGGTACTAAAACCCTCATTTCATAGATGAGGAAACTGAGCCTCAGAGAGTCTAAATATCTTGCCTAATTTCACCCAACTATAATAATAAGAGGAAGCACCATGATTTAAACTTAAATCTGTCTGACTCTAAATCCTGAGATTTAAACCACCTCTTTATACTGCACCTCCGCCTTGTATTCATTCATTCATTCAACAAATATTGAGTGCCCACATTATCCTAGGCATCAGAATTGATACGGTGCATAAAAGAGTAAAATATATACATCCCCTGCCTTCATAGAGTTTATAAAATTAGAAAAATTTTATAAGTTTTATAACTTTATATGTTTTATAGTAGGAAAGATAGGTTTTTAACAGATGGTCACATAAATGGCAAGTATTATGAAAAAAAAGGATAGGGAACTCTGAAGAGTATTTAACAGAGGGATCTAGTCTAATCTTGGAGGAAGGGAGAGAGTCAGAGTTGGGAAACGCTTTCCTGAGGGACTGATGCTTTAACTGAGGTTCAAAGGCAGAGGGGCAAAGGGATGGTCAAGGGCATTCTAGGACGTGGGATTGGCATGTGCAAGGGCCCTGAGGAGGCAGAAAACTTGGCCTTTTCAGAGAACAGACAGATGCTCTGGGGAAGGTAGAGCTTAGTAGGTAAGAGGGAGAGGCAGAAGGTGAAGCTGAAGGCATCAGCAGAGGTTCACATGCAGGGCTTTGTAAGCCTCTTAGAGTTTTGCCTTTAACTTAAGAGTATCTGGAGGCCATTAAGAAGTTTTCTTCAGGGGTGCAACATGGACTGGATTTTGGTATTGAAGTCTCTGGCTGCATTTGTTGAGGATGATCTGAGGGGAAACTAGAGTGGAGGTTGAGAGAACAGACAGGCTCCAGGAGAGAGATGTAGGTGCCTAAGATTAAGGCTATGGTGGTGGAGCTGATGAGGAAAGAACATATTAGAGATCTGTTTAGGAGATTAAATTGTCAGGGCTTGAGGATGAACTGGAGATGGGGCGGAAGATGAGGGGCATCAGTTGCCATGAGTGGCTGATGAGGTTCTGCTTTGGGGAGATGAGGGCACCATTGTCTGAGGTGGAAGACATTGGGTGGGGGGGGCTTTGGTTGGTGTTGTAGGCAGAATAATGCCCCCAACCCCCAGAGATGCCCATGTCCTAATTCCTGGGACCTATGAATATGCTCCCTTACATGGTAAAAGGGACTCTGCATGTGTGATTAAGTTAAGGATCTGAGCTGAGGAGATTTTCCTGGGTTAGCCAGTGGGCCCAGCGTAACCACAAGGGTCCTTATATGAGGGATGCAAGAGAATCTGAGTCAGGAAGAGACTGGAAGTGCCACTCTGCTGGCTTTGAACATGGAGGAAGGGGCCACGAGCCCATGAATGCTTCTAGTAATTAGTAAAGGTAAGGAAATATAATTCTAAAGTAATTAGAAAAGGTAAGGAAATGATTCTCCCCTAGAACCTCCAAAAGGAGCACAGCTCTGACCAACACTTTGATTTTTGACCCAGTGAAACCCATTTTGGACTTATGACCTCCAGAAGTGTAACCATAAGAGAATAAATTCGTGTTGTTTTAAGCCACTCCATTTGTGGTAATTGGTTATAGCAGCAATGGTAAACTATGATCTCTGGGGCAGAGGTCCTATCTTTCCCTGCTCCTGTCTTTCCACCCACAGTTGTCAGTTGTCCTAATTCTTTCCCCGAACTCCCAGTCCTAGAGTTTATACTGATCTTGTGCCCGAAGCTTTTTGTTTGTTTTCATGTGAGCTCTGCACAGGACTGTGGAGATCACGCCGTTCAAGCCTCATTTTAGTGACGGTTAACAAAGCCTGGGAAGTGGGGAGGGATGACAAGGGCAGCTTGCCCAAGGTCATCAGTGATCCGGTAGCAGTGCTGGGACCAGAATTCAGAGTTTTGGACTCCTGAGCCAAAGCTTTCTCTATACCTTCCACAGGGCAGGTTCAGAACCCCACCTTTCTAGAATAGTCCAGATGTCTACACCTTTTTTGGTTCCCGACATATCTGACTCCGCTGGCTAACCCTGTCTCTTCTGGCTGCTGCCCTCAGTCTTAGACGTCCCGCTGATTACTCTCACCTGCCCAGGCCACCAATGAGCCCAACAGCGTGCTGACTACGCTGTCACATTTTGTGCTGCATTTGGTTGCCATGGTTCCCTTGCTTGGTTGATTTGTTTGTTGGTATCACATGGCTGCAAATGCCAGATGCCAAGAATAAGTCTCCTAAGTTATTTAACCTAATAAGACCTCTTACTTCAATGGACAGTTTGGAGTATTTATTCAGCCTCCCATCCTGCTTCTTCAGAATTAAGGCAAAACAAAAAGATGTTTTCATGAATGCAAACCAAATACCTTCACGCACGTGGGCAAACACATAGCTAACTGTTTTTTGAGTTTTCTTTAGCTCCTCCAACAGCCTAATGGCCTGAAACCTCTCCCACCCTCTCCTCAGTGCCCAAAGCTGGATTGGAGAAAGGAATGCTCTACCTCAGGGCCTGCGGAAGGCAGAGCAGCAGGTATCCAATTCTGTGCAGTTGTGGAATTGGAAAGAACTGCAGGAGGTCAGCTAATCCAGTCTCCTGCTCTTAGGTGAATAATGCATTACATAACATAAGGCAGTGCATTGTTGCAGCTATTTTAAAACTCCTTTGGGGACAAACATTTCAAAGTCTTCCTTGAAAAGATGCAGAGACTCAAAACTAGCCATTTTAAAGCCCAAGACAGGATTCCTGAATATGTGCCCAGCCCTCCAATCTATCCACATGTCCACAAACCTTGCTGGGCAGTCATCTTCAGACCCCCAGCCCTGCAGCCTCAGCCTTGTCCCCATCACAATCACAATAACTTATAATAGTAGCTCATGCTGCAGCACTGAGGCCCATGACCTATTCAGGCCTCAGCTGGAATCATACCCACCAGATGGATGGAGCAGGAACCAGGCGAAAGGTACAAATGACACAGGAGTAGGCTGGGAAATGGGAGAAGTCACATAGCTGTTGGTAGTGTTGAAATCCAGATCTTCTCAATCAAAATTTAAGGCTTGTCCTTGACACCGGTTTTGCCTCCTTGTATCAACTCCCATAGGGATGCAAAGATGAGTAAGATACCACCTCAGGGGGTCAGAAGTAAGCAACTTTAGGAGTTCGGGAAGGGGCTGTATTAAAATGGATGTTGAAATGCCTTGGTTCACATAAAACAAATATATCCTTAGATACACAGGGGTTGACAGAAAGGTAATGTTTAAGGTGCAGAGGGCTTAAACATAAGTCAGAGGCTCTTCTCACCAACTATCAAGGTCTACTTCTAATTAATAAGGTTAAATCAGGAAGTCACTGAACAAATTAATCATCTGAAAGGACTTTGATCACGGCACTCTCCTCTTCAAAAACTATCGATGCCTTCCTATTGCTTAAATGTCTCCAGTATGACATTGGTCCTTTCTATCTCTTATGGCACTCAGCACAATGTCTTACACAGCAAAGGCATTAAAATTTCGTTAACTTGGCAAAAGCCACAAAAGATACAGCTCTAAATACCTGCCCAATTCCTCTTTTCCCAGGGCTAATGAATATGTTTCTCAACTCATTTTCCCTTTACCCACCTACAGTTTGATTAAAGTTCTTCAGTATCCATTTTACTTGCTAAGCTTGGAGTTGGAGCTGGAGCTGTGAAAATGAATAAACTGCAATAGTGGACAGGAGATCTTTCAGCTTCCTGCCCACAGTGATAAACTTTGAATCCGAAAGCTTTGAATCCCAGCACTTCTTGCTGCTTCTGAGTCTGGTTCCATCAATTATCCTCTTTCACCTGTCTTTATCCTCTCCTTTTTTATTGGATTCTTCCCTTAAATATTTTAAGTCTCTCCTTTTTTATAAAACTCCAAAATATTCTTAAATCCCTCATTCCCCTTCAGAGCTACCCTGTCTCTCCTCCCTTTTAAAGCCAAGGTTCAGGAAAGAGTTATCTGTAAGTTCCTTCTGTTTCAATTTCCTTGGCTTCCGTTTACTCCTTAACACCCTGACCTCTGATCTGGCCCTACTATTCCATAACAAAAGACCATCTGTTGGTCCTTCTGTTGCTAGCTGGTGGTAGCATTTGACCCTTTGCTTCCAGGATGCCACGTTTCTAGCTTTCCCCTGGCTTCTCTGGACAGACTTTCTCAAACTCCTTGGTGGACTTTTCTTCCTTGGCCCATCCCTTGGACCTTGCTGCTCCTTCAAGGTCTGTCTGCAGCCTTCTCTTCTCACCATACTCTCCTTGGGTGAGCTCACACCCTCCTGAAGCTTCATTTACTATCTCTGTTCTGATGTCTCTCAAATATGTATATCTAGCTCAGATCTCTCTCCTGAGGCCCAAACTTCTATACTTATCTGCTCATTTGACATATTCAGGCAGATGTGTCACTGACACTTCAAACTCCAAATCTGAACTCATCACCTTCTCTCACAACTTTCTCCTTACTCACTGAATGGCACGATATCCACTCTGCTGTTCAAACCTTGACATCAATCCTAATTCCTCTCTCTTCCTTATTAGCTGCATCCAATTAGTCACCACGTTTAATTGACGTTAGCTCCTAAGTAGTTTTGGACTCCATCTAATTTTTTCCATCTCAGCTTCCCTGCTGGTTTCTTACCCAGATTGACACAACAGCCCCGTAACTAGTTTCTGTGGCTCTGGACTTGTCTTTCTCCAATCCATTCTCCACATTTGGACAGAATGATCTTCCTAAAGCACAAATCTGGTTCTGTTTTTCTCCTACTTAAATCCCATCAATGACTCTCTATTTTTCTCAAGATAAAGCCTTAACATGGCTCCCTGATCTGGCCTGTGTCCCCATCTAGCTGCATCTCTTGTTAATTCCTTCCCTAAGGTTTGTACTCCAGCTGTGCCAATCCAGTCACGGTTCCCCAGATATACCATACTCTCTCACCGCTAAACCTTTACACAAACTGCTTCCTTGGCCTAAAATGCATCTCCCTCCCCACCCCCTACCTCCCTACTTGGATGAAAAGATCCTATTCTTTTTTCAGCTATCAACTTAGTAAGACTTTCCTGACCACTAGACTGGACATAGATCACTTGTGTCCAATTATAGAACCCTCATAATAGTTCTTCCTTAAAACTGCACTGTAATTGCTTGACTTCCTGTAGGTCATCCCTAATAGCTGGTTGGCTCCTGGAAGTCAGGGTTCATGTCTTATGATCCTGGAATGTGGGAGGGTCTCAATACATAATTATTAAAAAAATAGAATCAAAGAATATTTAAAGGCATATTTCTTTAAAATTAAATGAATATATAAATGAGCATATACAAAGAATGTATAAATGAGTAAAGAAATATAGATATCCACAATACCATGACATATATGATCTAATAGAGGTATAATTAATAACAACAGCAGCGATAACAATAATGTAGCTTTTATTGAGTGCTTATCATGCATTAGCATTATTATATAATAAGTACCTTATACTTACTAACTCAATCGATCCTTACAATATCTCTAGAAGGTAGGGATCAGTTCAAGGTGCTGGGAGTGTACAGAAGAAGGAAGAGTTAATTCTGCTGGTGGGAGAGGGGAGTTATTACAGCTTCAGAGAGTAAGTGACCTCTGGGTGGGTGGTAGTGAAAGCCATGGTTATGAGCAGAGGTTGGAACCCTCGGGGAGAAGACCTGGTGGGAAGATTGAGAAGGAATGGTAAGAGAAGTCTAAGAAAAACAGGGGAAGTGGCACTAGGAAAACCAGGAAGAGAGAGAGAGATTCAAGAAGGGAGAGCATTAAATGTCCCACTGATGTCAAGTGGTAAAAGAAACTATGGGCTCTGGCATCTCAGAGGTCATGGACTCCCCTTTGTGAGAGTGATTCCAGTGGACTCACTCATGGTGAAGCAGATGAGGGAAGGAATGTAGAAGAAGAAATGTTGAGAATGATATAGAATCCTCATACAGAAAGTTGGCAGAGAAGGAAAGGAGAGAAAAGAAAAAGGCAGGCAGGGTCAAGGGGAAATTTTTTTTTCTTTTTCTGGGTAGGAGTTAACCTGAACGTGTTTTGTTTTGTTGTTGATTTTTGACTGAAGGGAAGACCGCAGTTGAGGAAAGATTGAAGGCAAAGGGAGATCGGGAAGGCAGGACAGACTGGGATGAATAAGAGAGGTGGAAGGATGAGTCTGGGGAAGGTGGCAGGTCTTCACCTGGTTGGTGGGAGGATGGGCAAATTACTGACAAAGGGACCCAGCTGGAGGAAGTTCTCCTGTCACGGCCTCTACCATCCTTGTGAAATACGGCATCATGATTAAGATCCTAGATCCCACTCAACCAGCCTCTTCAATAAAAGAAGAGCGAGGAAAAAGAAGAAATTTTCCTTAAAAGTCATAGCTATTGTATACATGACACTGAATAAACAGGAGACTAGATAGGAAAGACAGATGCAGAAGAATCAGCCATACCTAGTAGTTCCCTTGAATGAATCTAGGGAGCCAGATGGAAGCAAACAAATGATGCACTATAGACACATCTGTGCTCAGTAAATTAGACCACAGGCTCCACAAAGGAAGGATTCGAGTCTGTCCCGTCCACCATTACATCTCCACACCTAATTCAGTGCCCAGCCCATAGCAGGTACTCAATTAATAGATCGTTAGATGAATGGATAAAAATCAAACATTTAAGAATTTTTGTTTAGTTATTTTGATCAACGTTAAAAACAGAGACTGCCTCATGGGCGTGTGAGCTGTGCCATTTCACAGGGCCCCATGCTCAGAAGGGGCCCCTGCTTGGTTGAACACTTTGCAGTCATTGTTTAGAAATTCTCAATAATATGAACAAGAGGCCCCAAGTTTTCATTTTGTACTGGCCCCCACATATTATGTAGCCAGTACTTGTTAAAAACAATACCATATATATCTATAAAATGTCACTAAGTGGATATTTTAGATACATATGAATGTCAAATTATCCATAGAAATTTATCTTATTAAAAATATATTTAAGGCTTACCTGAAATACCGGATCGTGGCTTTTCTTTCTTAAAATATGCTTCATACTCTCTGTAGACAATTTTCTTAAAGGAAGTTGCAAAAGCATTCAAACTGGAAATAAAATTGAAAAACTAATTTGAAAGGTATATTTGACATCTACTTCCCACATTACAAAAAAGTAGGTCTCTCATATCTTCAGACTTCCAGTAGAATACCATGATTTTTATTGTATTTCAGAAATCCAAAGTTTTATAAATATGATCAATAATTGAAGCTATCAAAATAATTATTGGTCTCTTCAAGGAATATTCTATTGTGCTAATCATTCTTTCACAAGTTAGGCTGCCCTATTACTGTTTCTCAGAATCAATTTCCTAAAATGAACCCAAGATTATAGTGTGAACCCAAACTTTTGGTTTAGATTTTAATTGAGTAAAAATATGAAAAAATACTTTATGAATAAATACGTGAGCTGTTTTTTAACTGATCAGTCAAATATAGTTTTAATTTATGGGGGGACATTGTAAATAAGTATCAATATGGTGGACCTTATTTCTAGCTGAGAGCTGAGAGTGGCTAATGGGGTAAAAGCCTTGGGATTCATATTAGAAACAAACAAATGAAAAAACTGACTGGGAAAGACTAACTTGTCCAAGGAGATACAGTTGAAAAATGGGAGAACTAAGATTCAAAAAGGTAAAACCACTGCCTTCATGGTAAGGAAATCTAGAGTGAGTGGGCAGCAGGGAGAGTGGTAGGATACTTTTCTGCTCTCTTTCTTCTGTGCCTCTAAAGACGGGCACATCATTCCTATCCTTGATTCAAAGACCAGGGTAAAAGGGAAGAGAATTGGGGTGAAGTGTCTTACAAATATCTAAATGAGTTGACCACATTGGCTGTCCTGCTTCCTAATGCAGAGATAATGGCCCAGTCATAATCAGGGCATCTCAGAGTGGTAGATCACCCACATGTGCCATGACTTCTATGTAGCACAGTGGCTGGGACCACAGGCTGTGGATTCAGCATCTGGGTTCGAATCTTATATCTATTATTACCTGTATAACTTTGAAAAGTTCACTTAGTCCGTTTATGGCTCAGTTTCTACAACTGTAAGATAGAAATCATAATAAAATCTCCCTCACTGAATTGTTGTGAGTATTAAATAAGTTAATATGTGCAAAGGGTTTAGAACTGGCACATTATAAATACTCAATACATGTTAGCTAGTAATATTACTTTCAAAACGTAATAGAAGTTGGTCTTTAGCCTCCAGGTTTTCCCAGCGAGCAAAAAAAAAAAAACCTGTAATTCTGATAATGCTCATAAGTTAATATGTGGGATACAAGAACTGTGTTAATATTTGTGGGCAGAATTAAAGGTGGCATGAGTTAGTACTTTCAGAATGGCTAGATACTGAAGGTAGGGGACCCTTGGTCACTGGAAGCATTCAAGTAGAAATCAGACAACTACTTGGGAAGAGTATTGGTGCTAAGGGTATGGGGAGAAGTAGGAGGTTAAAACATGGAAGTTGAAAATGAATCAAATGACTTCTTAGAGTTCTTAGAACCCAAAAATCCTAGGATTCTACATGATAGTGTCCCTAATGTGAAAGTCCATTTTAATCTACTTTTTTTAGTACAATTCAAAAGTAATTTTCCTCTCGTGCTCTAGATCTTTAAAGAAAGAAATATAGATATTAAAGAAAATCTTTACTAAGAAAAACCAGTCTGTTATGTGGAGTAATTTCAATAGAGGTATATTTCCCAATATGTTTTACTGTGTATATTGTGTATTCATACTGAGGTATGTCTATTTGACCTAAACAATTCCTATTGGAAAATAATCTATCTGAATAGAAAATTAAAGATGATATGAATTCAAACAATATGCATGAGAAATTTTCCATTTATGAGGAATATTTAAAGAATTTTTTCATAAAAACAAAATCATATAAAGCTAGAACCCTAGAGGGAATATATATCTATATATTTATATTTTAAATCTGTTAATGTATACATGTGAACGATTGAACAAGTTTCCTTAAGGAAATTTTTGAAAGCGTTTACCCTAGACCTGGAGCAAGAATAATAGATATATTTTACCTTTAAAAGGCATTGTCCTGCTAATATTAAATGAAATAAGTGGACACATCTCTGCTTTGTGCTAAAATACACTGTGGCAAAGTATGGAGTTGTCTATGTTCATATCCCTCTAGTGAGTGTCACATAGCTCTAGGGGCAGAATAAGTTAGAACAAGTTCTTAGTTTAAGCAGCCAGATACACAGATTAGATTTTTCATATGGCAGTACTGCAGAGGAATGGCATGATGTGAAGTTCAACAATATTGAAAGCTTTCCTAGGCTATCTTTCTAGGCTATCCCTAGGTTTTGATTCAATAATTAACATTGGAGGAGTGACTCTTCCTAGAATCTTGGAAACTCAGCCACAGAATGAGGGGACATGTTGACCAGTCATGGCTCCCTGTGGACTCACCATGTGAATCAGACCTTTGCCCTCTGTGGTTCTGACTCCAGCATTCTGCCTGTCATTGTCAGTGTCAACCACAGAAGAGAGAACAAACTCCCAAGCACAAAGACAGCCTGCTACAGGAAAGTCAGCAACCAAGTTCATGTTCTAGCCATGAACAGGCAAGATTAATGTTGGAAAGACTGTTATTTTCTTTGAGGTTTTGGTTTATGACAGTTCCCTAAGAATGTGGGAGTGACCCAGATTATCACCTTGAAATATAATATTTAAAATGATTACTTTTGAAAAGGAAGTATTTATTATTATTATAAAATCAACATGATATGTAATATCCTCCAAAATAACCCAGTTACAACGAAATATTTTAAAAGGTTAATGCCATTCACTGAAAGGTCTCAAAATATTACGTTATTTCTTGGCAGATCACTTGTTTTTGTAATTATAAAAGAGGAACACATCTTTCACAATCACTTAAACTGTGATGTTAAGTAAAAAAAAATGAGTCACACAAGGAGGTTTACCACTGAAAATATAAAAATATAATTAACTGGAAAAATAGACTCTATGATTTGGTTAATTTCTGGCATGTCTTATTTTTAAACTTTCAATTAGAAAAACATAGTTTGCAACTCAAAAATAGAGTTTTGTATGACTTAGACCTTATCTTGGTTACATATGCCTTTTAACAGAACTTACCACAATAGCCAGCGTAAACCATATATATCCCAGGAAGTGATGAAGAGTGAGAAAAAATGAAGAGTCACATCCAATAGCATAAATAAGTCAAATATGAAGCAGAAAAAAAGGCGAAAGTACAAAAGTGTTATACTTCTATGGACTGATGATATTTTGAAAGTCATTTGTAAGAAAGCAACAAAATTATATGGCAATAGTTATTCAGTTATCTGCTTCTAATAAGCACAAGGTGTACGTCTTTAATTGTAGAAGATAAAACTACATGGACAATGAATAAATAAGGTGTAACTAGAAGGTCCATAAAAATACTAGATTACTAAAAACCTGGATGAGGAGTTTGCAGGAAGGGCTAACAAGGGAGGTAAGTGCCTGGTACTTTTGAATCAATCAATACATTAAACCAACAATCAAGCGTACTAACAAAACTGTATTGAAAACAAACTCTTGAAAAGAAAGTGCCTAACCAATCAAACTGAATGTTTTCTATACCCTCAGGATGATAAACTATATTATTGGAGGCAAAATTAGCATCTACCAAGTTTATATCGTTCATTATACTCTCCTATTAGTTGTATTTAATTAACTGAAATGAAAAGAAAAAATGCACAGAATTGCAAAGGGAATGTTCTCTAAGAGAAATAGCTTATCCTCTTTAGAAAAGCCCACCCGGACACCACACCTGAATTACCTTGGGTTTGTGGGCTCAGGGTGGTAGCTCCAACTGATGTGCTCAGCGGCCACGTAGAACTGCCTTAGCTGCGCTGCCTCGGCCCCCGGGCTCCCCCAGCCTGCCCAGCTGGTGCCCAGGACCACCAGGACCCAGAGGGGTGGGCAGCCTGGGAACATGGTCCTGTTCCTGCTCCTGTGGCTACCACGGTCCCCGGACCTGGGCAGGGCTCGCCCAGCCGCTGCCTGACTGCGCTGCGGGACCCGGCTGCAGTGAGCTCCCGGGGGCGGTGGGTGGCAGCGTCCTCCTCCGCTGCAGCTCCTCCAGACTCCGCAGCGGCAGCTGCCTCCGCTCTCCCTCCCTCCCTGCTTTCTGGGGCTTTTCCGGGTAGGGGCTTGGTGAGGTCACTGTTCCCGGTGAGATATTAAGGAGAGTAACTAGATTAGTGACTGTTTTACTACAGGTGAAGAAAGGGCAGAGATCAGAGGCTCTAACAGGTGGGACAATGCCCAGATGAGCCACCAGACAAAACTGTATTCTTCCATTTCCACCGGCTAACACCCCTGGAACAGTAGCCCCTGGAACAGTAGCCCCTAAACGCCCGCAGTAAAGCCTGCCTGGGTCAAAGTGCACACTTGCCAAACTCTCTGCAACTCCCAGTGCAATGGAACCCAATGCCCTTAGCCAGATGGCCCTCCCGATCTGAGAAGGGAATTGTGCCCTGCTATTGTATTTGCAGGCGATGAAGATGCAAGGGACTAGCACATGAACAGGCTACGGCTCTGAGGCACTTTCCTGGCTTTTACCAAGGCACACATCTGTCTTCGTAAGGGCCTGTCACAGCAGCATAGCAGAGGGCTTAGAAGAGCTTGACTGAGAAAATCAGTCACCCGAATTTCAATTCCACTTGCTAGCTGTTGTCTTGGGCAAGGTACTCTACCCCTGGAGTCAGTTTTGACATCTGCAAAATAGGCGTGAGAATAGTTTTTCCTGATAGAATTGTTGTGAGGATAATAGGATACCGTGACTATATGATCCCCAGAACTTAGAAAGCACCCGGCACATATTCCTCACTATGATTATGTTTTCCTGCCCCCAGGGCCCTGTATATTTCCTGGAAGATCTGGCCAGTTTTACACTGTCTTAAATCCTACTCTGCTGTTGATAGAGGATCTGAGAATTACATTGTCTGAAGCAGCATTGTGAGTTGTCCCGGGTTCCCTGGATCTGCATGCCTCCTAGCGTCTGTCGGGTGCTGTGTGCATTCGATACATTCCATAGATTGTAATCTGGCACCTCACATGAGGCCTCCCTTAACACTACCAGACTCATCAACAGCCTCGCCCCACTCCATTGCCCAAATCTTCTGTCTTTGCTCCTTTGTTGACATGGTTCTACCAGTTTAGAATGGTCATTCTCTTCCTCTTTGGTTGGCCATTCTTTTACATTCCAGAGTTTTACCTCAAATGGATATTTCCATTTTATGAACTCTTACAACGCTACTCAAATTATATATATTCATGTTGATTACTGTTTATTATTCTGTGTGGGTGTCTATTGTCTCCCTAACTAGAACACAAGCTATTCCAGAATAGGAACTATGCCTTATACGTCTGTATTTACAGTATCAGTGGTTCCCACAATTGGTAGACAATCAGAATTCCCTGGGGAGCTTTCACGAAGTTCAGATTCTGATTCAGGAGACAAGGTTGAGAACCGCTGTCCTGAAATACCTAGCCTAGTAAGCGACATATCATAAGCATCAGAGATGCTATTGGCAGTGTATCTCAGAGAACTTTTGAAAAGCATGTTCCTAAATCCCAAGGCTACTACCAAAATTCTTGCAAAATTATTGTAACCTTTAGTTAGACCGCCTTACCGTTTTTATTTGCATGTTTGTGTGTTTAGTCTATATGGCATATTCATTGCATTACATTTCACAGGGACAAGATAACTATATTTTGGTGCTCTCTAATTTTTGCACCAGTTTCTGGCAAGCACTGTGTAACTTTCAATAACCTGTTTTTTAAACATGAGATTTAAAGAACATGTAAAACACATCTGTTCTTCTCTGTAGAACATGAAAATGATGAAGACATTTTTTGCTTCTCTGAGTTTTCTCTTGGGATGGGGGTTGTGTAATATATATTTGCAGACTGAAGGGTCGAGCTGTAATCAGGACAACTGGAATTGTGTATTACATTGATGGTAAACAATGTGATGCATACAGACCTTATTATATAAAACATCAAATAGAGGAACATGGCATTTGGGAAGAATCCTTTTAATTACACATTTGAATATTGGTCTTTGTGTCCTTTGAGGGGGAGTGACAGGTGACAGGAAGGTCTACAGTGACATGTGGCCTCCTGTCTTGATTCTTGTTCTTCTGAAGCCTCTGGTGCCATTCAGAGGCCTCTCTGGAAGCCTCAAAAACAGCAAGCACTGGAAACCGTAGAAGATTCTACAGAAATTCCCTCAAGTTAGAGATGTCACCTGTCTTCCAACAAAGTAGAGAAAGCCTTCTTTCAACACAAAAATAAAGAGGTATTTTTATTTCTCCATGGTCTGGTCTTCTTGTGAGTCAGATGCTCCAGTCTCTTGGGAACTGGTATTTCAAGTGACAGCCTCGTCAAAACCCACAGACCACTGTAGAAACATCTGCTCCTGGCTCCTGTGGCTTGCGTTGGAGGAAGAGGAGAGGTGGAGCAGGAAGGGGTGGTGGGTGGAGAGTTTGGGACTGTGGGACAATCCTTTTGCTCTGGTCCAGAGCTAATCTAAGGAAATTCCATGTCCTTTATTCACAAGTATTTATTGAAAACTGTAGCAAACGCACTACAGATAAGTCAAGTCTAGCAGGAAGGTTGATGTTCACAAACAAGGTTCTGTGGAGGTTGTTGAATGAGGTGACCAGGAGAAGGAGAGGTCTCTGAAAATGAGACAAGAGAAATTAAATAATTATCCTTTCCTTAAAAAAATCAGAGAAAGAAATTTCTCATCATATCTATCCCCTAAGGTTCAATATAATCTTCTCTTTCTAGATTCCAGATATTCTGCCATCCAGGCTACTTTTTGTAGGAAACTCAACTGCTCACTGAGCTTTTTGGGAGAGGGATAATATCAGTTTTGTTTCCCCAGCAGGTAACATAGGGGTTCGGCCCCATAAAGGTTCGTAAAATTTTTCTAGCAGTCCTGACTTCTTCTCAGGCAAGGCCATAGTGTCAATACCACCAGGCAGCCAACAACGGGAGTGTCACACATTCTGAGATAAGTTATGTCTTGTTAGAACATTTCTGTCCTGGAGGAAATGGGAATCCTTATATGAACTCTCTGTTATTGTCACTTCATTCTGTTGTCACCTCTATTGTCATACCTGTCTTTTGTTAACATAATTTCCTTCATGGCCTGACAGTTTAATACATGCTTAAAATTTAATACATTATTCTATAAAGAAAAATCAAGCTCTATATTCTTCCTTTTTCCTCTACGGAGCTATTTCCTTCAAAATGTCGTCATAGGTAACTTACCCTAAGGACTTGGGTCAAATGCAGTGTTTGTAAAAACTCCGTATGTTCCCAGGTGGCTGAAGAATAGAAATACAAGGATGACCTGCCATGTAATGGTTAGTCCTCAACCACACAGTCCCGCACATAGTATCTCCAGAAACCATGGATTCCCGCCCCACCCCTTGGATTCTGCTTTAAAAAGGAAAGAAAAATAAACACCAAAAGAAATCTTTGAGATCCCACTTAACAGCTCTGGGTAATTCGCATTGCATTTTATACCCGCACTAAGTTATGGTTGTTGCTTTATGTACTGAATGCCTGCTCTGCCCTCTAAGGGGCTGTAGCTTCTTCTTGGTGAGAAGAAATAGTTTCAGAATGCTCAGCCTTGATACTTTATAAGCTAGCAGTAGTTTTGAAAGGGAGCAGTATGCCCCCTAGAGGCATATTTTTAAAAATTTTTGTAATGATAGAGAGTTCTGACATTTAGTGGGCAGGTGTCCCAGGTGCTGGATGTCCAAATAGCCATAGGACACAAAAGAATTGTCCCACGCCCCACATACTTTGGAATATCTGCTCAATATTTATATATTCATATAGGTTAAAAATCTCTGAGCCTGGAAGTCAACTGCTTTATATATAAAGTGGTTTTTGCATCTTTTAAAATGCAATTACCATATGAATTGAGGGAAGATTACAATAGGTTTTACAATTCTTTATCAGAGTTGTTCATCTTTTTGAAAAATCAGGTTGGTGTTGGCAACACATAGCATATTTTACTTCAGAATAGAAAAGAGGATATTGCAAAAGACATATAAAAAGGAGGCAGGCATTGTGCATGATCATTCAGACATAGAGTGAATTAGAAAGTCCAACAAAATTTATTCATTGATAAAACATTTTCATCTTACCTTTGAGGGTTCAAGGGGCATTTCCCATCTTCTGAAAAAAGTGAGAAAATATAAATGATTAATTTAAAAGAAAAAAACAAGATAAAGGAGAGGATCATTAATGATAGAAATTATTGGTAAAAGTCAGTAGACTGAATTTCAGATAGGCTTATTATAAGAGGTGTACTGGGGACAATCTCTCCCTGAAAGGTAGGACCTGTTTTAGGCTAAATTAAACATTTGACAATATTTATCTCCAGAGTTATTTTATTTTCTTCCTCCTTCATTTCAGTCAAAAAAAATCTCTGGTCCCCACCTTCAGCCTCTTGGAGATTTTGTATCTATATCTGTATCTATATGTGTGTCTATCTGTCTGTCTATCTGTCTGATGGTTTTGTTGTTGTTCAGAATCTTGCAATAGATTCTTTGGTACTTGAGGGCCCTCTGTTGCTGCATCCTGTGTCATGCTCCCTGAGGCCTCAGCCAGGCAGGCTAATGGCACAACAATTCCATACCAACACAACAGTGGATGTTTTTCCTCTCAGGTAATAGATGTGATCAGGTACCTCCTGTCTTAATCCAAACAATAGACTCTGATAGTTGAATCTGCCGACATGGCTTAGCATTTTCATCGTATTTGGCCGTAGAATACTGGGAAGTCTGAAATCAAATTGGGATAAGCCCAGGAAAAATGCCCTACCGACAAATGAATTTATTTATGATTTAAGATATTGCAGGATGGGTGCCTGCTGGTCCTTTTCCATTGTTCAGAGGGTTCCCTGGAAATACATCAAAACCAAAGAAAGAACTTGGGAGAAAAAGCAGGAATAGTGTGATTCCTACTCAATTATGGAGATTAGGGTCTAGGTTTTAGGAACCCTTGCCTCTATCTTCTGGGTTTGGTTAAGCAAGCACAAATTTTGCATGGAGGGATAAGTTGTGTGGCTCTTGGTATATCTATTTTGTCTTTTTAAGCAGAATATTGTGTTAAAGCAGTCTATTGTCTTAGTTACCCATTCACAGGAGAGTATATGAAGGAGCTTTGGGAAGACAGCCTCAATGCAATGGTAGCTTTGTGAATGGAGAGAGAAAGAGCAGGGAACAAGTGGTTCTGCCCCTCAATTCAATGAGCACTCTGTCAAATATTTTAACATGACCACTTTCAGTTACCTGGATTTGAGCATTAATGGCCCCTCTGATGTCCCCAGTTGCTTTTTGTGAGGAGTGAATGGAGAACCCCTGAGCTTATAAGCAAAGCTTTATGAACTTATGGCTAAGTGTCTGGAGCAGGTTGAGAAAAGATATTTTAAATATTAAGAGACTGTCTGTTCCCTTCTTTTATTCCTAGGCCAAAGTTCTTTTTCTGATGAACAGTCTAATGAACACGGTTTCCCTTATAGAGAGTCTTCATCCATTTTGTCACTTCCCTGCTTAAATTCTGCATCAATTCAAGTTTTCAGGAGAAAATGCCGATCTCTTAGCTTATCGCACCTGGTCACCAATACAGTGGCAGCTCCCTAGGCCCCCAGCTTCATCTCCTGCCTCCTCCATAAACCCCTTTTGAATCAGATGCACGGAACTGCTAAACACACCATATGCCCAGTGATTTCATCCTTTCGTGTCTTCCCACATGCCATTTTTTTCTGTTGGAACTCTATTTCCACTTTTTCTCCTGGGCTAAATCCCTCTCATTCTTCAAAGCTAAGTTTGAAAAAGACTTTCTGACCTACCGATCTGGTTTAGGCACCCCTATTCTATGTTCCAGTAATATCCAGGTTGTATTTGTGTCTTAACACACTTATGACACTTCAGTCTTAGCATTGATTTAACTTGTTTATCTCCCCTACTGTATTATACCTTCCTTAATATCAGGGACCACCATTATGGTCCCACTGCCTAATAGAGTTGATCGACAAATGGCTGTTGCTTGAAGGAATGAGTAAGGGAAAGAAGCAGAACACTTTCTAATTAGTTTGGTGATAACCTCGGGTACTTAGAGCAGAGGCCCCCAAATGCCAAACTGCAAACTGGCCTCGTCAGAATTTTTGGAGAGGGCTTTTAAAAAAGTCAGATTTCCAGGCCAACCTCAAGTCTCCCTGTAGGAGGATATACATTTTTTTATAAAGTTTCCCAAGTGATTCTGATGGGCAGTCAGTTCTCAAGATCGCTTATTTTGACCTTGTTTTCTTTTAATGCAAATGTTTTCCCACATGAACTACTGACGCTGTGGTTTCACTGCCCCACCCCAAATCACATGAGAAAAGAAAGAAAGGAGCAGGCTCTTTCCTATTTACCTTTTTGTCTGAAACGCTTTCTTAGCAGAGCCAGGAGTGTCCCACCCATTACCAGACCTGTTGCAGAAGCCACTGCGCCACCGAAGTAAGTCAGGGCTTCCTGGATAGTCAATGGCCCTGCTGCAAAACAAACACACGTAAGACATAAGAAATGTGTTATGCAGAAGAAGAGTCTTTCTCTCCCAGAAAAGTACCAAGAACTCTGAGGTGTGAGATTAAGTAGAATTATCAAAGGTCCTGGCAATGTTGAAAAGCCAGTGTGAAAGATCTGGACATCACAAATCCACTGCAACAGAATGGGAAGCAGGGTCTGCTTTTATTCCTAAGGCTTAAACCAACTATAATCTCCAAAGGAATCAGGGTAAGGACCCAATAAAAGGAATTAAATTGTAGACACAAAAAGCTTACACATAGAAGTTTGGGCAAAGAAAATAAACCATGGGTAATGTTTTTCTGCTAATCAAAAATTCAGTTATGCCACAAAAAGTAGTCATAACAAGCTGATAGGGGAAAAAATTAAGAAGAAAAGAGGTGGATAAAATACACCTCACAAACAGATGGAGCTTAATTAAGGAAGATCTGTGGGTTTTTTACAGGTAGGTGGTAAATGAAGGTTTTCTGAAACAATAAATTAAGAATCTGTGTAAAATAACTCCTAGTTTTTAACACTTGGAAACTTCAAGATATGTTAAACAGAGATTAGAGGAAGTGAGAGGATTCATTTCACAAATCTGAGCACTGAAAAGGAGTGGTGATCAGCCACACAGAGTCACTGAATTTAATTCCCATCACTCTGTGTAAAGCAAGAAGATTCTGCCTGATTCATTATGAAACATTTATTAAGTACAGGGGAAACCCAATGATAGAAAGCAAGACCACTGTGAGAAATACAGAGAAGAAACACAGATTTTGTTATTTTCCTTATTGAAGTGACACCCTAAACCATATGAAAAATGCACCTTGGCAGGTTGGCATGGTGGTTGACCAGTGGCCATTCTCTCGGCATGCTGTTCTCGCTGAGCCGTTAAGTGACTGACCCTCTGGACAATGGAAGGTGCAGGTTGATCCATAGCTGAAATCACCCCAGAGGTTGGAGCAGTTCATCATTACTGGCTTATTAACATGCAGTTCTGAACATTTGACAGCTGCAAATGCAGGAGAAACAAACATTTAAATGAAGGTAAAAAAATTATGGTTTCATTTGTAACCTGACTAGCATTGCCAGTAGATGAGGCAGAATCTAAAAGGTCAGAAAAGATACGAGCCACTTCCAATATTCACACCAAGTCTTCCAACATCACACGTACTAAAATACCCACTCGAAGAACGATAGCCAAAGAACTAGGATGGACACATAGTAGCATCCAATAAAAACCTGCTAATGGATTGATCAATCTTGCCTCCCAAAATACTCTTTACAAACTTTTGCTTCTCGAAAATACTATTGTTCTAAATGTTATTATTACTACATTTGTGATCAACTGGCATGTCAGCATGTGTTTATTAAAATACTTATAAGTGTTCAGCATATCTGGACACTAGAAGTTTGAAAGAAGTGGAGACTATCATCCTCTTTAAAGTATTTTTCAGGGAACTTCAGGTCATTCCCTATAATTTATGGATAGGAAACTAAAGCTTAGGAAATTGCATTTAATTCAAATAAATGTCATTGACCAATAGAGACATTTGCAAAGCACTGTGCTATGCTTTGTGGGGGATACAAGGAAGAAAGAGACATAGGACTCAATGCTGCATGTATACAGTGATAGCTCTTTGGAGGCTTAACGTGGCTTAATTTTTTCATTAGGTTCCAATTATTATGAAAATATGGAATTTTTATAGTGTCTCGTAATTATTAGTGTTACAATTGGTATTTATAAGTTCATATAGCTGATTTCATGCTTAGCATGCTTATTGTTCTAACACATTTTGGACATCTGCAGATGTTTCCTCCTTTAGGTCTTTGAGTACCAGAGCATTAGCCTGTGACATGAGGAAGGGCAGAGGTGATGTGCCTGCCGCACATTACTTCTGATTGGGATTGGTGAGGATTTCATGGAGGAGCTGACACTTGCAGTGGTCGTTGTGGGTGGGAGGGATTTCAACAGGCAGGTACAATGGCTAGCTTGAGTACCCGCAGGAAACCAGCATCAGAACTGCCTGCTCCTTCTCACATTACCTCTGCATGCTGGAGTTACTGCTGTCCATTGTCCTGAAGGTCTGCATCTGAGAGTGCTGTCTCCCACGAGCGCGAAGCCAGCTTTGCATCCAAAATGACAAGTGGTATCCAAACCAAAGGTTCCCAGATGATGCCTACAGGACATGGTTCCCTGCCCAGGAGTGATGAGGGCTGGGCATTGAACCTCCAGGGTAGGAACTGATGCTACACCTGTTGTGAGCAAATGTTTCAATTTAGAGAGCTCCCAAATAAAAGGAGCACAACAGAGTTAAGGTTGACGTGGAATAACTGGCTTTCATTCCTTCATAACAAGGGAGGCTCTGTGATATTTATAATATTTAAGAAAGTTAAGAAAAACTATTAATCTCAGGTATAAAAAACAGATGAGGAAAATTATTTGAAATGTCCTTGAAGAGCTGATTCTCCTGGCCAGAAGAAGAAACTGGGGGTCAATGTTACTGATACTAAGAAAAAAAAAAAAAAGAAGAAGCAGCAGAAGAGCTGGTGCAGAAATACAAGAAATTCAGTAGAAAGCCAAATATACATGGGCCAATTGCCTGCCCACCCCTGCTTTATTGGGAGGTGGTATTGTTCTCTGGCCAAAGGTCAACATGAAAGTTGAAATGTGAATGATGCCACTGGCTTTGTCATTAACTGCCATGTGGTGAGAAGGTGATGAGTGACCTCTCTCCATCTCAATTCCTTGATTTGAAAAATTGGACCCGTGACTCCACCCTTGTACTCTGTCTTGGCAATAAAATGATGGCGACCATTCGATTGGCTCAACAAAGCTCTTTAAGAGGCCAAAACTATGATACAAAATTTCTGCTTAAGAATCAATATATCTTTTGTTCATAAACATAAAAAAGTCCCGTCACTCTTTAGAAATTTGTTAATCCATAGGCTGTGTTTGCTAGACCCAAATTATAGTATAATATGTACTTGTCACATGCAAGAGCTATATAAGTATTTGTTATTATTGTGGGAAAATTTTCCAAAAGTACAACTGTCCCAGCAAATATATAGTATTACCGTTGCAGGTTGGTGGAGGTGCTGACCATCTTCCAGAAGTTGTGCATTCCACATTGTTGTACCCCTCCAGCTTAAAGCCCTTGTTACAAGAGAAGTGGCAGGTGGAGCCAACATTGAATTTTCCAAGAGCGTCAGAACAATCCAAGCTGCCCTGCTGTGGGGCAAAGAGTTCTGGGCACTTGATGGCTGGAATATCAAATCAATAGTGTCACAATCTCCAAATTTATTCAGAAGTTCTGTGTTGTACAAATTTCATTCATTTATATATTTACAAATATTAATTGAGCACTTATTATATTCCAGGTGTTTTGCTTAAAAAGTGGTATTTCACAACATATAAGACAGGTTCTTTACCGCAGAGGACAGTGGGAGGGATGGTGAGCTTGCAGAGAGGAGTATAGGTGGAAGTCACAAAAGTAAAACAGTCAAGAACTTAAGAAGCCACACTCAAGAAGTCACAATGTCATCCTATTTTCCCTGTACCCTCTGCTTCAGCGAGCCTCCCACAGCCCCACTATCTTATCTGAATGGGCGCAGTCCAGGGTTTCACTTCCTCCTGCCTGACACTATTTCCTCTTAGATATCCTGCCATCTCCTCAAATTCAACACATCTAAAACTGCAGTGATCACCTTCTGTCTCAAATCGTTTCCTCCATTTGAATCTGCAGGCTGTTTTTTAAATGCCGTAGTTCCTAGCACAGGAAAGCTCAAAACCTTCCAGTCAAGGTAGATTAGTTCCTGGGAATTCCCTAAGTGGACCTCACATGTTCTTGCTTCTGGTTCTCGGCTCACACTACCCTGAATTTTTTTCCATTTCCACTGGATAAAATCCTCCAGGATCCAACTCAACACACAGCCTCTCCGAAGCCTCTGCTGATCGTTGCTGAACTTGTCTCCTCTGAATGCAACGACTTTTTGTGTGAACTCATACACTGTCATACCACTTGTCATATCTTCCTTCTTCTACTGGACAGGAAGCTTCTAAAACCCAAGAACCCTTCATCTTTGTGTCTCTCATAATTTCCAGGATCTCAAGAGGCGTGCTCAATAGTCACTTGCCAAGTGGATGAATAAGTGAATTTTTAATTTACTAACCACAGTTTCTTCCCCAAATTGTTTTTTTTTTCAAATTATTGCAGTTACGTATTTCTTTTGGCATTATGTCTTTCTACCCATTAGTTTCTCTGACATGAGGCTATCGTTTATCAAAAAATATTGGGTCATTAACAAACTGGGTGATTATTCATTTTTTAAATCCAAGGCTATTCTGAAGGTATTATAATACCTTGGTCAGATAAGACTCATTTTGCTTGGTTATTTTGATTTTAAAAAACTTCTTCAAGGTCTTATGTGCTGCCTTGTGAAAAAGTGACATACAGTATTTGGCTTTTATATGCTGGCTCATGTGATTTTCAGTGACAGGCTATTCACTGAAGGACTGTGGATTCTTACTGTGTGAATCCATTCAAACAGCCAAAGTACATAATGAATTTCAGATCAATATTCTCAAATTGTTGAGTAATTAATAACTCCATGCCTGGAAAATTAATTTCATTTACCAAATATTCACTAAACATGTCTACTGGTATAAGTCCTAGGTGTCAAATCATTTGTAAACATTTCACTAAAATACCTTTTTCAGAATTTCTCAGGGTTACATCTTTAAGCCCAAGAATGTTCATAATGTCAGCTGCATGAAAGCAGGAACCCTGCCTGCTCTTTCAACACTGGATCCCAGGGCATAGGGCCTGGCACATAGGGGTTCTAAAAATATTTGTTAAATAAATGAATAAATTAATGACTGCAATTTAATTCATGAACATACTGATTTATGTTATTTTAAGTAGGTTTAGTATATTCATCTATGTTTCTTTTCATTATCTCATTTTACTTGAGTTGGATATAGTTTGCTCAGTAACTTTCTCGAAAGAAGATATAGTATAAACAATAAATGCAACTGAGTTGCTTATTCTAAACACAAACTTTAAAAATAAAACTAAGAACCCTCATGGAGTCAGAGAAATGTGGGGGGAATGAAGGGAAAAATAGAGATGTCAGCCGAGTCAGAGCTTACAGGGCACTGGTTTGCTGTATTTTAGGATGTGGATAAGCAGGAACAAGGCAGAAGTGTGGAGTTGGGGTTGGAACTTGGAACCAGGACTTCCTCTCCCACCTCAAGGTAAAGATGGACACTAGAAGTTGGGTCCAGCAGCCAGACATGGTCTTCAAAGGGTCAATGATAGAATGTTAAGTAATTAGGATATCAGTAGTGTGTATCAGAAAAGGGGCCCAACAGGCAGGGACAGGAGGGACACAGCAACTGGATACAAGCAATCCCGCACACAGATGGTGCCATGACAGTTGGTGAAGAGCCTCTGGGACTGTGTAGGTTCACGGACAGGACTTCAGGCCCTGAAGGGCAAAGGCAGTCAGGATAGTGGAAAATAGAGTTGGCCTTCTGTATCTGTGGGCTCCACATCCATTAATTTAACCAACCCTGGATGGAAGATATTTGGGGAAAAAAATCCACAAAGTTCCAAAAAGCAAAACTTAAGTTTGCCGTGCGCCGAGTGCCACATTGAATCCATGTGAATGAAGTGATGTGTAGGCATTATATTAGGTATCGTAAGTAGTCTAGAGGTGATTTAAAATATATGGGAGGATGTGCATAGGTCACATGCAAATACTGCACAATTTCATTGTATAAAGGACTTATGGATCTGCACATTTTGGCACCTGTGTGGGTCCTGGAACCAATCCCCTGTAGATACCGAGGGACAACTCTGTAAGTAGAGGCCAAGTCCTGGAGGACCCAGGGAACTGGCGTTCTAACTAAAATGGGAATATTTGTGGAACCACCCCCACAAAATGAAATCTTGCATTGCACTCTGCAGAGAGAGTCTGAGAGCTCCACCTGCCACACTGCCCCTGCTTACTTGGTGGGCCCTGAGCCCCTCTGATGTAGCCTAGGACTCTGCAAAACAGTATGTGAAAGTCAAGGTTCTAGGGGCTGTGCCGAGGGTGAAAAATTCATGGACTCAGGCATATGGGAAAAGAAGAGGAACCATTTGCCTAAATCTGGAGAACAAATTTGGAGAATAAGATAGGAACACTGGTATGAAAACCAGAGCTCCAGATCAGGATCAGACAAGGTTGACAACTCTGAGGGCCACAGTGGGCTGAAGCTGCTGTCCATGGTCAGGGTTGGTTCTCGACACCGGGTGGGGGCTGCGCCCGAAAGGTGGGAGGCAAGTGCTGCCTCCTGTGGAGAAGAGGGGGCTGGAAAGCAGTGAGGGGAGACAGGGGCTTCAGGGAGTACAGATTTAACAACTACGTTGGTTGCATATATGATTTAAACTTTGATGAGATTTTTTAAGGGATTTTTGATTCTTTAGCCTTAAAATAGAACGTGAGAAAATAGAACTGATAAATGTCAATGGAATAAATGAATGCGAGCATGAGAAATAAACGAATGAGCAATAAAGCACAAGCCCTAATGCTGACCCCCATAAATGTTCTAGATTCCTCAGGTGGCTTGTAGTATATCTTTTGATGGCAACAGATAGCATTTTATATCTTTTAACCTACAGAATTCTTGGCCAGGGAAGAAACCTCAGAGATGGTCTTGTCCACTCTTCTCCTTTTGGAATTGAGAAAATTGAAGTCTAAGGATGCAAGCAAGACTTTCTTAATGGCACAATACAAGTCTCTAGATACTAATCTAGTGCTTGTTCCACAAGAAGGAATAAATAATATTTTAGCTATTTTTCAGATAACACTAATAGATTTATTCCAATATATTTTCTCATCTGATCACCAGACACTGCCCTTTCTAAAGGTCATTTCAGCAGTAATAGCTGCAACCTGTGCAGCGGAAAAGGGTAAATTAACAAGCGATTGCCCCAGGATTTAGAAGCCCTGCCACTGGGTGGCAGTGTAATGCAGTGGGAAAAACACTAGCCCTAGTCAGACAAGTCATTTAAATCCTGACTCCACACTTCCTAGCTGTGTGACCTTTGCCAGCTACTTATCCTCTCAAACCCTCAGTTTCTTCACCTTTAAAATGGGAATAGTGTTAATAACCAACATTTTAAACGTTGTGTCTGTACATTGAATGTGATAATGTATAGGAAATAGCTGGTACAACGTAAGCAAAAAATATTACCTATTATTGCTGGTCTCATCATCACTGACTACTACACTGAACAATAAACTGGAACAGTGGTGACTTATGAAACTAAACATGAGCTATGCTCGGATTAAATCACATCCATGCATGAATAAGCTCAGTGTCTTTGAGACTTTGTAGTACTCAGGGAAGGCGATTGTAGGAATGAATGAATGAATGACGAATGTAGCAGAAGAAGACTTTATACGGAAGTAAAAGTTCCAGTGACGTAGCTGAGCTTCATCACTTACTGATGGTGTGATCTTGGACAAGCTACTTGACCTCTCTGAGGCTGTGTTTCTTTCTCATCTATGAAATGGAGGCGATACTGCCTTTCCTCATTATTTCAGAATTGTGGTAAAATCAAATGCTATAATGACACGAAAGCACTTCATAAAACTGTGCAATGTTTAATTAAAGTCCTTAAAAGATTATTCAGAGAGAGAGAAACTCTTGATCTAGATCACCATGTTTTATGGGGAGTGTGCTGTTTGTTTTAGCTCAAGTACACTTTTATATAAATCCCTGATGATGATGCTCCATTCTGCAACATCAGCTGAAAAGCCAAAAGAAAGGACAGACCCATGAGCCTACCTTCACACGTTGGTGGGGAGCCTGTCCAGTGTCCAGATGGAGTACAATCCAATCTTTCTGGCCCGGATAAATAAAATCCCTCATCACAGATGAACTGGCATGTGGATTTATAACTGAAATCTCCAAGAGGCTGGACGCAGGTCACTGTCCCATTCTGAGGACTCAGCAAAGGTGGGCAGCTAATGGCTACCATGAGCATGGCAGAGGAGGAGAGAAGAGATCATTTTAGAACTCAGCAACCTGAAATCAATGGGGTGTGTGTGCGTGACCTCCTTAATACACAAGGGCAGCATTTGGCTAAAAATGATGGTTCAAATTTCATGGTGCTTTATCACCAGTTAAGAGTTATGAGGGTGCAAAATAGTAGCAGCTTACAGTTGACTAGTATCCTGACATGATCTCTCACGAACAGCTTCCGAGGCGGCTTTAAAAGGAAGCTACTGTTCTGTTCAGAAAGAGAGTGACGCAACTCATTTCAGTTGCCCCTGGAGAGGAGTGGAAGTGATTGCTCCCTCGGCATCTTCTTCAGAAACAGGCCTAATGACCTTACCAGAAAACAGTGCAAACAGTGATTAGAAACAGAGTAATGGAAAGGGAGTAAAATACTTTCTCTCCCTTTCCCTGACTAGGTCATGGCAAGAATGTGGGTGGAAATTCAGGCTCTGCTGCTTACTAGCCATGTATCTCAGGACAACAACCTTCCTGATCCTTGGTTATTTCATCTTCAAAATGGGAAAAAAGTATAATCTTTGCCTTGTAAGTTAATTAAATGTAAAAATTAAAGATATAATAAAAAAATCATGGACATACAGTAGGTATATAATGTGATCAGCTGTCTGCAAATGGTGGCTTCCACTTCTTCCCCATAGTCTCATCCTACAGTGGTCAGCCACAAATGACTCTACTTGTTCACTTACCAATAAAAAAGTTAAATTAGGCATCATAGTTCTTTGCTACAGTTTGTACATGTAGAGTTTGAGGTGCTAGGGGACTTGCCTGGGTTGGAGATCATTCTGTGTGACTTTTGGCAAGTTACTTAACCTCTCTGAGCCTCAATATCTTCACCTTTAAAATGGGGAGATAGCAATACATAGCTCCCATGATTTTTACTCTGATCAGGAGTGAGAACACTCTGTATGCAAATGTTAATAGCTGTCAAGATGTTCCTCTGCCAGTTAATCAAGCACCAAAGCCCAGATTAAACATGTTGACATTAAAAAGGAAAGACTAAATGAATACATGGTTTAGGGTATTTCTTCTTCGCTGTTTGACCTGGCCGAGCCATGTATGGCTTTAGAGCAAAGACAGTGGAAGTATGGCTGTCCAGGAGTCATTTTTCAGCCACTGACCTGAATGGCATGAGGTTTTAAGAGCATTTTCTATACCTTTCTCTTCCCTTCATTCCTTCCCCTCTCCAACTACAATCCCCCCATCTGATCAACTTGTCCAAAGCCCTTGTTATTTTCTGCCGCTTGAAGCCTTTCTGCATTAAGTGTGTATGTGAGGAGGGAGAGGGAAGCTTGCAAACTGCAAGGACCAACAGGGGAAAGGCTGTGAGTGAGGACCTTGGTGCCATGGAGCGTTTCCAGCTCTTTTGTAGCTTTGCCTTCTGACAGCAGGGTGGGTGTGGAGGAGTCGGGGACATAAAAAGGGAAATTGTGTGATAGCACTCTCTCAAAACTGTTACAACATCTAGTGGATTGCAAGCCTCATGGTACCTTCCTGCCCAGCTCACATTTTGGTATTTCACTTGACACCTACCCAGCAACGAGAGGAGAAAGTTCAGTCATAGTAAACAACTAAAAGCAGAAGGGAACTGGAAGGTCACAGGAAGCCGTGGTGAGTGGCAACCTCCTTGCTGTGAAACGCCCACAGGCAGGACAGTATGGAGCAATGAACTGTAATCCGTGCCCTGCATGGTCCAGAGTTGCCTGGACAAGTCCTGATTACTGCGAGAACGGTAATCACGGACTCCAAGTTCTTCCCGAAAGCTGAGTGAACTTTGTAATGTGCCCAGGCTTCAGTGTAGTCAGGATGAGCCCAGAGGGGGTGAAGTCACAGCACCACCCCGTCTTCCCAGACCCAGCTCTGAGGTGCACCCAAAACCAGTAACACTGGCTTGCCATACTCTGATGCCGGGGGATGGACATCAATTCTGCTGGGTGTGTTCATTCGTTCATTCATTCATACACTTACTGTTGGCCTAGTTTAACAGTGGGGTCGGCGGGGGCAGGGGGGGTACACTCGTGTGCACGCTTGTGTGTGACCTGAATAGCAAGTGGTTTCCTCTTCATGAAAAACATGTATCTGCCTGCTTTCACTTAGGTGTTGAAAGTCTGTACAAAGTGAACGGCATGGCAAATAATGTAGAAATGTCTAGTATTTTACCCATTTAACTTTGTCATTAAAAGTATATATACATCATAAAGTACTAATTGCATAGAGGGAAAAATGGATGGGGAAAATATTGAAAGAATTCATACCAGAATGTTAACAGTTTCTATTTTAGGGTTAGAGTATTTAAGAGGATATTCTCTCATTTCTCTATTTTCTTATTTTTCTGTAGATTTAGGACTTTCTCTCTCTTTTTTTTTTTGAGACAGAGTCTCACCCTGTTGCCCAGGCTAGAGTACAGGGGTGTCATCATAGCTCACAGCAACCTCAAACTCCTGAGCTCAAGTGATCCTCTTGTCTCAGATTCCCAAGTAGGTGGGAATTTCAGTGTGTGCCACCACACCCAGCTAATAAATCTTGCTTTGTAAAGGCAGTATTTGCTATAAATGTAACTAAAGAGTTGAATGCATTGAGGGAAAAAAAGAATGTGAATATAAAAAAGCATACATCTATCTTTCAATTCACAAATATGTATTATTAGAACCATTTCTATTTCATACAGGGTGTTACAACATTGACAGAATACACTGGCTTTTTATATTAAGTACAATGCAGATATAAATGCTTATACTGAATCTGCACGTTTTTTTCTTCTGAGAATCCTGTAACCTCCAGTTCACAGAGTAATTTTATTCTCTTTCCATCATTCTCCACTTTATCCTAAGTATATTTCTTCCTTATTACATAGATCTTGGAGTATGTTTGCAATTAGGTACTTATAAATTCTGCACCCCCCGCAGTTCCACCATTATGCCCCATGGCTCCATGGAATAAAGTGCCATGCCAGCCTTGGGACAACCACCCTGAAGCAATTTTTGTCCTTCTGGTCTTCTTTCCAGATGCTGTTTTTAGCCAGGTGAGAATAATTCACCAGGTTAGTGACAGGAGCCTTCAGGTCCTGGTCCTGATAAGGAGATAGCAAGGGCCATTCCCTATTGCCAAACATCCTGGCACTGTTACCTGCCTGGCCCCTGAAGACATTTATATTTGGGGTCCTTGGGTTACAAGATGAAAGGATGAGTGAGAGTTTTATTAATTTTCCAGTCTATTTCAAGATGGACCCTACACAATTACCACCTTTAAAATACAGCCTTTTAAAACACTGCCTATGATTATTTCCAAGATGCTGGAAAGAATGGACTCTTACCTTGGCATTCGGGAGGAGCCGCACTCCAGATTCCAGTAGCCAAGCACTGTAGCACACTTGCACCCACCAGGAACAAGCCTTCCTCACAGGTGAAGCTGCAGACCGACTGGTACCTAAAGGCACCGAAGGGGTGGGAGCAGTTCACCTGGGCCTTGTTTGGAGCTGGAAGATCCTGGCACTGCAAAGCTAAGTGATGAGGAAATAAGGAGTAAAGAAATAGTAACATGCAAGTATTCATGGATTTTGACCCATGGGTCTTTAAGAACAGGTATTCTTAAATTGGGCTTGCTTATCTTGGACGATGAGAAGGGTCATTTAATTACAATGGCATAGGAAGGATTCTATTAGGAAAATGCTAAGCCATTATTGAGCATTTTGGCAGTATGTATCAATAATTTTTAAACTATCATACCTTTGGACCCACCAATCTATGCTAAGTATGTAATCACAATGCATATAAAAAATCAATTCAGGGATTTTTATCAAAACATTATATGTAAGAACAAAATATTGAAAACAAACATAAATGCCACTAATCTGGGGCTGAAAATAAAGTATGGTGGCTCCATGAAGTAAATATTAAAGGCCACTAAAAATGATATATAGTTCACCTTGGAAAGTTATGGGAGGTGTGTCAATGCACAATGTCATTAATACTTGCCTAGAGACAAGAATGGCTCAAGTGATCCCTGATGATTTCCTTTAAGTGTATCAAAGGGCTCTTCGACACATCCACAATACAATCCATGACCTTCACCAGTTCTCACCATGATGGTGCTTGGCCATCTATTCCTCCATGGCTTTTTTGTTTTGATTTCAATTTTTTTTATTATGACAAATATATATATAGCATAACATTTACCATTTACCATGCAACCGATATTAAATATACAGTTCAGTGGCATTAATATTAAGTACATGTTGTTGTGCAACCATCACCTCTATCCATCTCCAAAACCCTTTTCGTTATCTCAAACTGAAACTCTGTACCCATTACAACATAACTCGCCTTTCTCCGCTCCCCACATCCCCTGGCAACTACCATTCTGCTTTCTGTCTGCATGATTTTGACTACTCTAACTTCCTCACATAAGTGGAATCATACAGTTTGTCCTTTTGTGACTGGCTTACTTCACTTAGCATAATGTCCTCGAGGTTCAGCCATGTTTGTAACATATGTCAGAATTTCCCTCCTTTTTAAGGCTGAATAATATTCATTGTAAGTGTATGCCATATTTTGCTTATCCAGTCATTCATTGACGGAAACTTTCATTGCTTCCACATTTTAACTATTGTGAATAATGCTGCTACAAACATAGGTGCACACATGTCTCTTCTAGACCCTGCTCTCAAACCACTGCCTCATTTTAAAATCAGGGTATAGTTAGACCCAGGGGAATCACATAAATTGCCCCGGGCTTTCAGTAAATGAGAACACAAAATGTCAAAATTGCACTTCTGGAATGTGACTTCTGTGTGAAGTACCCCTTGTAAAAAAATAATCCTAATGACTCCCTGTGCCTTAGTTTTGTAAGAGCAAAATATTGAAAACCTGAAATATTAAAAGAGGATAATTTTTGTCAAATCACACCAACGACATATGATTTATAAGGTAATATTATCATCATCATTATTTTGCCTGTAAAGCTCATGGGAGTTTTATAGTTGCTTTTACAACTGCTAGTGAGCAGGTAGATAAGGCAGATAATAGTACCCCCATTTTACAGAAGACATGGAGCCTCAGAGAGTCCACAAGCTTACTGACAGGAAATGACAGGGCCAGACTCAACACCTTGTCCATTATTCTATTCTATTCCTCATGCATCATTCCTTCCCCAAGCCACACCCCCTTCATGTCAACACGCCCACTATATGTCAGTCACCTCACCTAGACTACACTGTAATGCACATGTTGTGAATTCATCCCTAGTGCCAGGCACACAGGGGCCAGCAAACAGTAGCTGTTCGTGAATGTCTGATGAATAAATACATGACAGTGCTCAGTGCAGACACCGATGCCTTTGATTAGCTGAGACACACAGAAGAACAGTACACCTGTCACAGTACCTTGACAGACGGGGGCTGGTGCTGTCCACTGTCCCATGTCAGTGCACTGAACTACATCAGCTCCTCCCAGCACGAAACCCTCAGCACAGTGGAAGCTACAGCTGGTGTTGTGCTGGAATGCTCCTGGGGACGGGGAGCACGCCATGCTTCCGTGGATGGGCTTCTCCAGTGGCTCACACGAAGTGGCTGAGCAGAAAAGTGATCTTCTAAACCCGAGTCATGGAAGGGCCCAGTTCTTTCTCAGAGAAACCTCCCAGGGATGCTACATTTTTCCTACCCACATTGTCAGTATGTTCAGAACCCCAAATCTTTCATTTTCCAAAGGGAAACTACCTAGAACACATTTCCCATGCCCCTCTTTGCCTGGCTCACTCTCACCTGCCCTTCAGGTCTCAGCTTAGACTTCACTTTCCTTGGGAAGCCCTCTCTTCCCAACCCAACTCAGGGGCAGGAACACCTCCAGTGTGCTCCCACAGCCCCCTGTTCCTGTGTTGTTCATACGTGGCTGTAATTCTCCCTCATCACACCGCAGTCTCCTTGAGGCCATGGTCAGCCATTCAGAGCTGTATTTCAGAGCCAGGCACAGTGTTTGCCACATCATAGGTGGTCATTAAATATTTATTGACATCGTCTGTGACACTGAATACGGAAAGAGTAGATACAGGGAAAGGCTGGAGTTGTAGGGCAAAAGCTGGACTAGCATAGCTTACTGTTGACACTACTACCTAGCTCCATAAAATGATCCGAAAAGGGATTTGTCTCTGGAGCACAGGATGTCTCCTAGTTAGGCTTCAATTGCCAAGTGAGTGCAGCCCAGGGAGAGTTCCTGAGCACAATTAAGCCCTCAGTGACCTCAGTTCTGATAAAGGTTGGTTTCCTCATGATCTTCCTTGGTAAACCATTTCATCTCCAGGCTATTCCTGGGGTTTTGCAGAGTATACAGACCACCCTTTCATGCTGGGCTTTGACCTCTGGTTTTTACAGAATCAGGGCATTTAAGAACAAAATTTCCTCTAGTGCTGCTTTCTTACTTTACGGATGAGAAAAGTGAGGTTCAGAAATGTTCAGTGATTTCCTTAAAGTCTCATAGCTAGACAGTAGAGAGCTGGGCTTGTAATCTAGGTCTGGTCTGGGAATTCACTAACTCGCCTTTAATTTCCTATTCTCTATGACCCCTCTCTGCCTTACAGGTTGAGGGTGTGAGACAAATGCACAGAATTCAGTTTTGTGGTGTTAGGATTGCATCACACACTTTTTTGATGCAGTGTTCCTTTACTCCTTTGTCAAAGGCTGTCACCAAAGACTATGGGGGGAATCTCTCCCTTTAGTCACTTTACCCACTGCTCTGACTCCCTCTCACGTATAGGACATTGTCCCACAGCTTGGATAAGGGGGAAAAAAAAGAAGCAGAAGCTAAGGTTGAGCAAGAACCCAGCTCTATGCTAGGTACTTTAAACATGCTACTTAACTGTATACTTTTAATATACTTAATTCCCACAAAGAACCCTGCAATTCTTAGCTCCATTTCACAGATGAGAAAACTATGGTTCCCAGAAGTTGAACAACTTGCTCCAGTATCACAGCCTAGTGGAGGTCACCCTGACATCAAGAGCCTTTGGCCTTTCTACTGTGCCATGACTCCTTCTTGGACAGATGGGGGGCTATCAAAAGAAAATCCTACCCTCACAGGCTGGCAAGGGTGCGGTCCACTGGCCAGAGCCGGTGCAGCGGAGTGTGTCCAAACCCCTCAGGCGATAGCCAGGCTGGCACTCAAATTTACAGCTGGAGCCATAAGCAAAGGCAGCGAGTGGAGAAACACAGTCCATGGTTCCATTGCTGGGGGCTTCCAGGGGCTGGCACTGCATAGCTAGAGAGAACAACCAAAGATAAGGAAAGAGAAAGTTACTAGGAAGGAGAAAAACCCTGTCCACAGCTGGAGAGCAATGGTAGAACCTCTGGAAATGGAGGTGGAGCTAGGAAGATGTAAGGGGCAGGAGACCCTAATTATGTTTTTCCAGACTTGGAGTTCCCATCCTCGGGGCAACCTGAATCTCTTAAAAATGCAGATTCCTCCAAGCTCTATTCTGAATGTCCTCTATTCACTATACCTCTGTAAACCTGTCCTGGCAGGTCTTCTAATGTCTACTTATGGATGTAGATGCCACCTTTCCCACCTCATGTGAAATGTACGAATGAGGCCATTCTGAAACTGCCTGTGGATTCTGAGTTTTGGTGAAGGAAGGAGTTTTAATTTTGTTTCTAGTAAATTCAGCCTTTTGTTTTTCTAGAGTCTGAAACACTTTTCTCATCCCAGATGTACCCAATCTAGCTGGGTGGCAGGTGGAAGAAGAGTTAAATTTTAGCAATTCAGGCCAACTTGTCCATAAGCTGGCTAGTTTCATCTATATTCCCAGCAAGGACAGGGTGCAGTGGACATTATACATCCCTACCACCTGAAACTCACTTCTGCACATTGGAGCTGGGCTGTCCACACCCCTGAGGCTGTGCATTGCACCACCATTCGCCCAGCCAATACAAATCCCTCTTCACAACTGAAGCTACAGCTAGACCGGTGCTGAAATGCTTTTGCAGAGTGAAGACAGGCCTTGCTTCCTCAACCAGGAATCTTCAGGGGTGGGCAATGGGCAGCTAAAAGCAACCACAGGACAATGGTGTGAGTCCTTGGGCAAATTATTTCCGGCACCCTGGAAGTCTTTGGATCTTGCAGCAGCTATACCTTCCTAAAGCGGCAGGCAGGGTGATGCACTTGGTGTGTTAAATGGTACTTTCAGTCACTCTTTGGAAAGATCCAAACGCCCTTGTTTTTCATTTAGAGAAGCTAAGGCAAAGCGATCAAATTAATAATATTCAACCCATAAGTACTCATCGTTATACTCTTTTTACTTTGCAATTACTAAGGGGAAAGGGGTCCCTTTGTACGTTTTTTGCCTGAGAATCATGAATTAAACTTACTAAGTCACTCTACAGATACAAAATACCATGAAAAGCAAAATTATTGTTAGTCTGGTATACGGGTAACAGCGATAACCAGAATTTTCCATTTAACATAGATCCTCATTATTTCTCACGTTTTTTAATGAAGAAAGCTCATTACGTCCCTTTCCCCCCTCCCCCCACCACCAAATTCTAGTAGTTAGGATGGAAAGAGTGAGGTCTACACACCTATACACTGCGGGGGCTCATCTGTCCAGACTCCAGAAGCCAAACAGTCCAGCTTGCTGGGCCCACTCAGTTGGTACCCTTCTGGGCAGTGGAAACTGCATTGGGAGTTGAAAGAGAAGCTTCCCAGTGGGTGGCTGCAGTTCACAAGCACGTGTGGAGGGAAGTCAAATTCTCCACACTCTCTGACTGCGGGAGACAAAAATATTGATTTTTTTTTCATTGTAGACTTAAAGATGATGTCAGATTTGCTGAAAGCTGGTACTATTTGTGTAACCTTCTTAACTCTGACTTTCTAAGCTTCCAATCCAAGCCATCCATCTTTACTTGATTCCTTGTATTGGCTGCCTCTTGGGAAATAATCATTCTTTCACTGGTTTTTATTTCAAACAAGTAAAGTAGTCTGAAAGAGTTCTCTTTGTTTTCCTTCCTTTGCATTTCCCTTTTCTCTTTTGAAATTTTATGAGTTAATAGTCTCTCCAAGAGTAAAATGTTTTTACCCCAGACTGTGTGTCTAGGGGCAATTTGGGTGGAGCAGACAACAGATGATAGAGGGGGCCTATGACCAGCCTGTACTCACTGGAGAGTCGCCAATATGATCTACTTCCTGGCATCACATCTAGCATAAGACCAATGACCGAAATAATATCCACAAAACAGAAGCCTCACCATATTCACACTCTGGCCCGTAGAATCCAGGGTAGCAGGAGCAGGTATAGTTCCCGATGGTCTCGATGCACTCCCCTTGCTTGCTGCAGGACATGTCCTGGCAGGAGGCTGCAGAGATACAGCAAGGTCAGAATCGTGAACATTCACAGGAGACATTAAGAAAAGCTGGATTCTTATTCTGGGCCACAGACTCAACTCCTCTCAGGTAGGACTGAGCTAGCCAAACCACAGAGAACTACAGTGTCATCTGGAGAGACAACTTGTTGCTTGCAAGAGGCATGATAGGAGTCTGCTGGAGCATTGCATGGTTCTTATTTCACACTGTATTTAACGTTTCCTAAGAGGGGCAATTCTATGTGTGGACACAGAGGGACAAATGAAGACACTGATAGATGTGTGGACAGAGAAGCTCCTCTGTGTGGCACAAAATGGATTGTGGTTTTCTAACCAAGAGTTGTACTCACTGAGTTGAATTACCATGGAAGCCCTCATGCCACGTGTTACAGCATAGAGGTTAGGAAGCAGATGTCGGGGGCTGGGGTCACACAGATAGGATCTGAATCCTGGCTCTGCTGCCTGCTCGCTGCGTGGCCTTAGGCAAGTTACTTCTCTGAGTCCAGTTTACCCAGTGTCAGGGGCCAGACCTTCTACCTTTTGTTTGCTTCAAGTCTATGCCCACTGCCATATGGGCATTTGGTGGAGGAGAGAGGAGCCAAATGAGATGTTTAAGACCTGCTCCCGGTAAAAGACAAACAACCCTAAGACAAACTCTAAGTTTCTCGAGCAAAACATGCCAGGCTTAGAGGGTACAGACCACGGCTCACCTGCCAGGACCTCCACACTAAGTCCATGCCACTTAGATGGCAATAAAGAAGGGCCAGGGATTCTTTCCTGCAAGGAAGTCTTTGAGGGTATATGTACTTGGTGGAGAATTAGTACTGGAGTTGATACTATGAAAGCACCAAGAATGTTTTCATTGATTTTTTTGTTGTTGATGAGGTCCTGGTTGGGGGCAAGGTCTGAGGCTGAACTGCTTTCTGGTGGTCATTTCCTCTGCACTAAACCCTGGCCATGTGTTGGTCCATTTTGGGGTATATTACAAGGGGAAATCCATAAGTCACATAGAGGGCTGTGCTAGTGCCAGATGACCTCTGTGTTTCCTCTCAAATCTGAGATGCCATCATTCTACAAACCACGAAAGCTTCTACAGGAAGAAGTTACCATGGCAGCCAGAGAGTTTGGTGCAACTGCACTGAGGCACAGGGGAGGGTTCCAGATAAAGAGGAGATGCAGAGGCAACAGCAGCTGGTGGATATTGGATTGGTCCACATCTTCCATCCTATCCACCTTGCCCCTAACCGTGAACCTACAAGTGCCTTACAGTAGTAACACTTGCCTGCCTTATGTTCTTGAAGCACATAAATTTTGCCCTGATTGTAGCTTCCTGAGGATCTCAGAATTCTAGAAATAAAAAAAAAAAAACAAAAAAAATACAGAACAGGGAACATTCTGTATTCTATCTCATTTCAGGGCTCCCAGGCAGGTGAGCAAGTTGTCTATTCCTTTTGGATGGATCTTCAGGAGGAGAATAATGATGATTCAGTGAGTAAATCTTTTTTTCACAGCCTGATTCTGAGATCTAACAAATCCTGACAGGTAGAGAATTATTCCAAAAATCACTTAATCATTTCTTATTGCAGTATACATATCTGTTTGTCATCTATTTCCCACAGAGAATTGATGGTTCTACAGCCTTTACATTTGGGTGGCAAAATGCTAATCAGTAGTAGTGGCTGTCTAGAGTATTTTTTGGTTGAGATGGAACCCATCTATGTTCAGGTAAAATCGTTCCAATTAGTGATGTCTGCCATTATTGCAGACTAGAGGAATGGTGTCAATTTATGACAATAATTTTCAATCTCTTTTCTATCTTGCCATTTTTGGTAAGCTTTATTGGGGAAGACTGTCTTGCAGAAATGGGTGTTGAAGTTTGGGTGAGGAGGGGGGAAATGAGTGGCATATTGAAGCAGCTAGTGGCAGTCAAAATAATCTGATAAAGGACAGCTCTAGGGAGGCATTGCCCAGAACGGGTATAGAGCCAACTGCGAGAGCAGTCCGATGAACTAATGTAATGTCCACCCTGGTGCATGAATAAATGGCCATTAATTAATTAATACATAAATGCATTGTTTATAAAATGAGATCTGACTACATGACAAAGCATTCATGGGTATGTTTTCCCTCAGCTAGGAGGTCTGGGCAAGGAGAGGGAAAATGTAGAAGGAATATGCCGTGTATTCTGTTCCATATGTGTATTATTGAAGGATTATGAAAGGGAAATATTTAAAATCTAAAGAATTCAGAACATAGATAGCAGAGTGTGGCACGTGTAAGATGATTTTTCAAAGACGCTCTAGAGTACTCAGGACCCTCTAGCTCAGGGCAGTCCATACTCTCCCTAGCCGCAGTGTGTGTGTGCTACAAAGTGCAGAAGGGGCCCCTCTAGACAGGAAGCCACATCAGAAAGGTGGGATCAGCTCTGGCACTAGGCTTATGACTACAGGAAGACCAAGCTTTCATTGCATGTCTGCTTACTCTGGAACTGGGAGAAATGAGAATCAAATATACCCCCAGGATCTCACTTTTGGTTCCTTCTTCCCTTTCTGGGCTCCCCACCCTCCCACCAAAGTCCATATCCATTGGATATGTTGTTGTTGAAGAGAAATTATAAAGCATTTGCCATCCTTAGTTATGATCTCAAATTGTCTCATAAAAATGGAGAGCAAAGACTGTGATGGCAAATGTGGCTAAAAACCACCAACTTTGCAGTCAACGTGAATTTGAAACTGGCTCCACCATCAACTAGCTTAGAACCTTGGGCAGATTACTGAAAAGCTCCAAGTCTTTCCCTTATCAGCAAAATAAGAGAAATAGAAGGGCCTTATTGATGAGGTTGTCATGAGGACTAAATGCAACTAATACTGAATGAACAAATGACACACGCACTAAATGAACTAATAACAATGCCTGGAACACGTTGGCATTCAAAAGGTATTAGCTACAGCTGTGTCTCCTAGGGTACAGGGCTAAAATCCCTCTCAGTTTATACTCTCTCTTATACTAGGGCATAGTGGTGGGGGGAAAAGCTCAAGACCTAAAATTTAGGAGACTGGTTTCCAGTCATAACTTTGCTTGTCCTGCTCCACAAGCAAAGTTAAGAGAAACTAAAACTTCTTGCATATCCATTTCATCAGTAACAAGATGAGAAGGGTGGGCCAGATGATATCAAATTCCTCTCTAGTTTCAAACAGCTGTTTTTCTCTAATCCTGATCTTACATTCTTCAAGATGCTCACTAATGCTGATTGATTAAGTTTACTCCTTGATTTCATGTCCCTGCCTTTGTGACTCCACAATATTAACCCAGATTTTACATTGGCCAGGGAAGGCGTTTTTTGTTTTTTTTTTTTTTTTCCTTTTAACACTCAAATTTCAGAGTAGAGAAGGCACTACCTGTATAGCAGAGGGCCCGCTTTTTTTTCCTGCAGGGCTCATCATTCCACTTGCCGGGGGCCGACTCACTCTTGATGTAGATCTCCACGCAGTCCTGGTTGTTTTTCTTGTTGTTGGGCTCATCGTCAGCCCAGTTCTCGGCCTCCTTGGTGAGAGTCTTTTTGGTTCCCACCCAGGTCCAATTATTATTGATCTTTCGGATCCCAATCCAGTAGTAAGAGCTGTAGTAGGGTATGACATCATTGAGGTAAGCAATTTCATTTTTATTCTGGATGGCCACTAAATCCGTGAAGTACTTCTGGCAGAATGACCTGGAAAAATTCCATGAGTATGCGTTTGTGCTGTAATGATAGGTCCACGCTGCCACTTCTTTCTGATTTGTTAGTTCTAGATGAAATGAGAGTGAGTGCCAGGTTAGCATCCCTTGCCAGGAGGTTGTAATCGTAAGTACACTTCTGCATAGTCAGATGAGCCTCTGGCCAGAAGATGAATACCCAACACATGACTATTTTACTTCTAACGTAGTTGATTGAAGGGAAAAAGAGTGGTTTCCACCTTTCACTTGACAGTGTACATGAAGTCAGAATAGGAAAACGTCCTCTTCTGAGGATCCTTGGTGTTAAAAATTTGGAATCATAAGATATCAGAGTCGGAAGGGACCATGGAAGTCATCTAATTGCCTCTTCTCCTTTTATAAGTGAAGGAGATGGATTAGGTAATTTGCCCAAGCCCAAATTAAGTGACACATAAAATGTCTTAATAGCAGGTCCTGCCTCACATGGAAAGGAAGATGCTTTATGATCTGGACCCTACCAGCCTCATTGCCCACCGTGTTTGCCTTCTTAGCAAAACAGAAGTCCCACTTACACGTCTTTGCACATTCTCTTCCTGCTCTCCTGGCTGCCCTCCCCTCTTAAATGCCTGGGAAACTTGACTCCCTGTGCTTTCCATGGCTTCCCCGGGTAGGCTCAGAGTTCCTTCCTCCAGGCTCCCGCTGCACCTGGTCCCTGCTCCTCCGCCTTTACTGCCATGTATCGTCACGTCTCTACAATGTGGTCACATCTGCTAGATTGTAAATCCCTCATGGTGGTCTCTCTTTAGCTCTGAATTCTTAGCACCAACCATAGAGTTTGGCACCTAATGGGCATTCATTAAATACCTAAATAAATACATAAATATGTAACTAAAGAAATAGGCATTCAATAAATACATAAATAAATGCAGCAGGTTTGTGGCAGAGCCAGGGTTAGAAATTAGATTTCCCGATGTGCAATTTTATACTCATTCCATTTCTCTTGGTTGTTTCTCTTTGATCAGTTACTCTACTTCCTCCATGTCTGCTTACTCACTTATTAAAATAGGGCAAAAAACAGCCCTTCATGAAATAAAGAAGGTGCCCTTCGAAAGTATAAAGATGCTATGAGGCAAAGTATTGTTATCATAACCTCTGGGAGCTCCCCCGGGGCAGAAGAGGCCAGTTCCCACATGAAGAGGTGGACAATGCAAGCAATCAGGCCTGGAAATGGCTCCCTTTCCTGTTTATAAAGGCTTGTTTCTATTCACCCCTCTCCTCTGCAGCCTGCATGAGGGTTGATCATGTTTGCACCTCCCTCACTGACACCTCTATAGCATCGTTTTGCCTTAAGACTATTCTACTATAGCCAGGGCTGCATTATAACTTTCACAGACTCTAGGCAATTTTATCTTTGTAGGCCCCTTCCTCCATAATAATACATTAAAAATTATATTTTGCAACTGCATTGGCATAAAGATGAATATATTACCATATATTAAAATGTTTTCTTTGACTTTAAAGAAAATCATTATAGAAGAAATTCAAACATTTTTTGTGGGTCCCTGAAAGTACTAAGCGCCTGTGCCCAAGCCCAAAGATAAATTGGTCCTGAATATATCAGTTTAAGTTCTTTCTGAAGCCTTGTCTACCAATATGATTGTGCTGGGTACATTTCTCTTCCAGAAATCTGGACTTGAACAGTTTTCCCATGCTTCATTGCAGCTGGCTGCAATCCTTAACTTCTCCCATTTGACTATGGGTTCTACCCTAATTGCCCAGGGCTAAGTGAAGGGTTAGCATAGAGTTTACCAGAGATCAGGGCACTGAAGAAAAAGAGTTGGGCAGCTCCAAAGACTATTTGCTGGAATCCCTGGTTCCAGATGGCTTTAAGGCAGCTGGCCTGTAACAAGAAAAAGAAAAAAAAAACAAAACAAAAACTTCCTTTTAGTATTCATATACCACCAACATGGCCAAAAAAATTCTAGTTGATAATTATTATGTTGAATTATAATTCTGCCTATTTTCATTGGGAGGATGTATCAAGCCCTCTGCTTCCTTCTTCTCATTGCTCTGCTTCTGAGTCCTAGTAGCAAGGACGAGGACAGAGTTCATTTCTTCATTCATTCAACAAATATTTATTGGGTACTTCGTGCCACCAATATTTTTCTTTTGAGATATATTTTTAATATGTATGTAAGAAAAATACTAAACACATGAATATGGCTGCCATTATTATTATGTAATAATCTTTTAAGAACTGGCATATCACACCCAAGAATAATAGAAAGTCACTTGAGAACGCCTTGATTCACACAGATAATGTCTAACCTATACTCTGATGCACAGAACATC